CCTTCCTTCCCCAGGGAAAATGCAAATAAATGAAACAACAAAAAACTGGTTAGCAGACAATGGATAATAAAAATAAGGAACTCGGTTAAGCGCCTCATTTGTGCCCAGCCCGGTATTACTCAGAACATTACTCGCAGTATTAAATGGGCCCCTTTAGACAGAGAAATAAAAGGCAGTGTTTAAAAAAAATACATAATTGATGGGGTGGTATTTTCCCAAAGACTCTATATATGGAAATCAGGTGCTATTTGTTTTTTAAGTGCCTTTATTTGTGCGCGTCAAAAAAATTCTCTAAACAACTAAGACTGTTGGGAAGAGGATCATTAGGTCTGGTATTGCTGGTTCAAGGCCTCAGCAAGCACATTTCGGCAAGTCCCATCGACACCAATGGCGCTGTTCAAGCAAAAATAAATACACCACTACTAAGCGATGATACAGTGCTCCGACTATAAAGCTCAAAAAGCTCTGCGGAAGTGGATGTTGTTAATTTTATTTTTGTAAGCGAGATCTACGGTGATCCAGCCCACGACACAATTCAGGTGCCCTAACTCCTAGGTTATTCGGCGGTCGACTGCCTGTGTGCCGGCATGGATTTAGCCTGGAAGCTCTCAGGGCTCAAGGATATTCAGCACCCCAAAGGGTTACTCCCTCCTCTTGCAAAGGGGACACTCAAGCAGTTTTTCTACAGCAAGCTTCTGTGTCACACAAAAGGAGACTTAGCCCCAAAATAGAGGCCAGCATTCAAAGGGTAAAGGCACCGGGGAAGAAAACAGTGAGGTCATGTGCAAGTCATCTGTCTAAAAAGCTGTCTTCAGAAACCAGTACTTCTCCTTACCTGTGCTGCAGGGGTTGTATTTTGCTCCACAAGCAAGTTTGCTGAGCTATTTCTTAGCAAATGTCCAATAGGGAAGCTTTTCTCCTGTCTGTTGGACAATAACGACTATCTGATCTGGCATCGCTAGCAAGTCATCACGATTTTATGTTGAGCCCTTTTGGTTACAGACAGACCATGTAACATGTACGTACTCTTAAAAAAAAAAAGCAGAGTAGTCAACACCATGATTAGAACCTGCCTTAATAAATTTAATTTTCTATCAATATCAGGACAGTTTTATCTTTGCAGACAGTTCTATCAATGATCAAGATCACGTGAACCTGATGTCTCAGGTACAAGACACGCGCAGAA